TCCATCTGCTTACATCTGCCTCTTTGCATCCATCTATATACATCTATCTTTCTCTATCTATCTGTATATATACCTATCTATATCTATTTAGCTGTCTATCTATTTATATCTATCTGTCGACGATCTATCAATCTATTAGTCTATTTATATTCAATTATCTATCTATCTATCCATCTGCTTACATCTGCCTCTTTGCATCCATCTATATACATCTATCTTTCTCTATCTATCTGTATATATACCTATCTATATCTATTTAGCTGTCTATCTATTTATATCTATCTGTCGACGATCTATCAATCTATTAGTCTATTTATATTCAATTATCTATCTATCTATCCATCTACTTACATCTGCCTCTTTGCATCCATCTATATACATCTATCTTTCTCTATCTATCTGTATATATACCTATCTATATCTATTTAGCTGTCTATCTATTTATATCTATCTGTCGACGATCTATCAATCTATTAGTCTATTTATATTCAATTATCTATCTATCTATCCATCTGTTTACATCTGCCTCTTTGCATCCATCTATATACATCTATATACAGAGAGAGAGAGAGAGAGAGAGAGAGAGAGAGAGAGAGAGAGAGAGAGAGAGAGAGAGAGAGAGAGAGAGAGAGAGAGAGAGAGAGAGAGAGAGAGAGAGAGAGAGAGTGTTGATATTGTGCTCAGCGTTTAATAGATCAGGTGACGGTATTGGGGTCAGGGAAGAGGAGAGACTGATAAAGATAAAGAGACAGAGAGATGAGGAAGAGAAAGAAAGGAGAGGCATATATATATATATATATATATATATATATATATATATATATATATATATATATATATATATATATATATATATATATATATATATATATATTTCGATCTCTCCCTCTCTCTCTATCCATTTATCTCTCTATCTATATATCTATATATCTGTCTATCTATCTGTGTGTGTGTTTCTCTATCTATCTAACTATCTATTTAGTTATCTATCTATCTATCTATTTATCTCTCTCTCTCTCTCTCTCTCTCTCTCTCTCTCTCTCTCTCTCTCTCTCTCTCTCTCTCTCTCTCTCTCTCTCTCTCTCCCTCTCTCTCTCTCTCTCTCTCTCTCTCTCTCTCTCTCTCTCTCTTTCTCTATTCATTCATCATCTCCTGCGAATGGCATGTGAGTAATTACTCGCTGTGGACGTCATTCCTTATCAACACTAATTAGATGAGACATGATGAGACAGGACAAAGGTATCAGATGTGGGTTATATGCTGCCCTCATAAACTAATGATTTTGACCTTCTTTTATATCTTTATCTCTGCTCTTATCCTTATCTCTCTCTCTCTCTCTCTCTCTCTCTCTCTCTCTCTCTCTCTCTCTCTCTCTCTCTCTCTCTCTCTCTCTCTCTCTCTCTCTCTCTCTCTCTCTTTCTCTCTTTCTTTCTCTCCTCTCGCCTTTCTACTGTCTCTCTCTCTTTACATCTTTCTCTTTCTCTCTCTCTCTCTCTCTCTCTCTCTCTCTCTCTCTCTATCTATCTATCTATCTATCTATCTATCTATCTATCTATCTATCTATCTCTCTCTCTTTCTCCTCCAGTGAGAGAGATAGAGAGAAACGGGAAGGGAAGGAAAGAAGAGAGAAAGGGTGGAAAGGTTGGAAGAGAGAGACACAGATGGGAGAGAGAGAGAGAGAGAGAAAGAGAGAGAGAGAGAGATGAAAGTAAAAGCAATGGAGAGAAAGAAAAAGAGGACGAATGGCAAGTGTCTGTATGTAAGAGTATGCGCGTTTATTTGTGTGTCTGCGTTTGTGTGCGTGTATGTGTGGGTGTGGATGTCGGTATGTGTCTGTGTGGGTGCGCCTGTACCTGATGACACCGCCACCTGATGCATTAACAGCGTCTTTCAATGTCGATCTCCCTCTCTCTCTCTCTCTCTCTCTCTCTCTCTCTCTCTCTCTCTCTCTCTCTCTCTCTCTCTCTCTCACACACACACACTCTCTCTCTCTCTCTCTCTCTCTCTCTCTCTCTCTCTCTCTCTCTCTCTCTCTCTCTCTCTCTCTCTCTCTCTCTCTCTCTCTCTCTCTCTCTCTCTCTCTCTCTCTCTCTCTCTCTCTCTCTTCTCTCTCTCTCTCTCTCTATCTATATGTCTCTCTCTCTCTATCTATCTATCTATCTATCTATCTATTTCTCTCTCTCTCTCTCTCTCTCTCTCTCTCTCTCTCTCTCTCTCTCTCTCTCTCTCACTCTCTCTCTCTCTCTCTCTCTCTCTCTCTCTCTCTCTCTCTCTCACTCTCTCTCTTCCCCTTTTCCCCTCTCTCCCTTTCCCCTGCTCTCCTTCTTTCCTTTCCCCTCTTCACTTATTCCCCCCCCCTCTCTCTCTCTCTCTCTCTCTCTCTCTCTCTCTCTCTCTCTTCCTTCCCCGTTTCCCCCTTTCTCCTCTCTCTCTCCTCCCTCCCTCCCTCCCCCCTCCCCCCCCATATCATTTAGGTAGCACTTAGCCTTATAAAGAGCAATAAGGAAGGTAATCAACCGTAATACTAGCGGACTAATAGAGGTACTACTTGCCAGCGGGACTGCAATGTTGCAAAAGAGAATGGCGCCTTTGCACTCTCCGCACTTTATTTATTATCATTATTACTGTTATTCGTTTCTTCTTTGTTTCATAGCTTGATTTTTCTTTCTTTCTTTCTTTCTTTCATTCTTCATTTCTTTTTAGCTCCGTATTCCCTATCCTTTTTTTCATGCTTAGCTTCGTATTTCCAATTAGTTTCGTTTATTTTCATCATGGCGATTTGCGTCTAATCTCTTTTCAATATTTTTTTGTGTTATTCTTCATAAGTTTCTTCATTACGTCTCTTTCCTCTCCTTAATTGTCTCTTAAATTCTTTCTCTGCCTCTCATTATATTCTTACTGTCTATCAATTACTTTTTAATTATTCTTTCTCTAGATGTTTTTATATTAACTGTATTTTAATCACTTTTTAGTCGTTCTTTCTTTTGCTCTTTTTATAGCTTAACTGTTTATTATTTAATTCATATTTTAACTGTCTCTAAATTACTTTTAATTATTCTTCTTAAAGCTCTTCTTATGATATTTTAAATGTTTCTTAATCACTTTTAATGATTCTTTCTAAAGCTCTTCTTATGATATCTTAAATATCTATTAATTGCCTATAATGATTATTTATAAAGCTTATGATATTTTAAACATTTCTTAATTGTTTTAATGATTCTTTCTAAAGCTGTTTTTATGAGACCTTAACTGTCTCTTAATTGCCTTTAATGATTCTTTCTAAATCTCTTCTTATGATATCTTAAATTTCTATTAATTGTTTTTAATGATTCTTTATAAAGCTATTCTCATGATATTTTAAATATTTCTAAATTGTTTTTAATGATTCTTTCTAAAGCTATTTTTATGAGACCTTAACTGTCTCTTAATTACCTTTAATGATTCTTTCTAAATCTCTTCTTATCTAAAGTATCTCTTAATTGTCTTTAATGATTCTTTCTAAATCTCTTCTTATCTAAAGTATCTCTTAATTGCCTTTAATGATTCTAATCCTAAAGCTCCAACTGCCAATCCGTCTGCAATCAGATCGCGTTCGTGGATAGCTCGCCTGCTCTTATACGAACGCTTATGAGCCGTTTTACGCAGTCTGTCCTCTGGATAGGAGTTTACGCCTTTATTGCATCTTAAGGGAGATATTTGAGAGGATGTTAAGAGGTTTTTTAGTCGTTTGATGAGTGGCGGAGATTAGCAATTACATTTTTTTTCTTTTATTTTCGTTGTAATGATACAGGGGAGAGAGGGGAGGAGGGTGGGGGGGGGAATTAAGCTTTGACCTTTAGGAAAAACACTTTCAGTATTATATTTTTCTTTTCCTTTCGTTTTTCCCTTTTTTCCCTTTATGAATTTCCTCAATTCTCTCCTTCTGGTTGGGTGTCTATTTGTCTGTCTGTTTGTGTGTGCATCTCTATCTATCTGTCTGTCTGTCTGTCTGTCCATCTATTTATCTGTCTGTCTGTCTGTCTCTGTCTGTCTGTCTCTCTCTCTCTCTCTCTCTCTCTCTCTCTCTCTCTCTCTCTCTCTCTCTCTTTCTCTCTCTCTCTTTCTCTCTCTCTCTCTTTCTCTCTCTCTCTCTCTCTCTCTCTCTCTCTCTCTCTCTCTCTCTCTCTCTCTCTCTCTATCTATCTATCTATCTATCTCGCTTTCTCTCCATCTATCTATCTATCTCTTTCTCCCTCCCCCCTTCCCCTAATGCTAATGAAGTTTCTCACTTTGAAGTATAATTTGCATACCTTCCCGTGTCCCTCATGCTTCTCCGTTTTCTGTTCTTTATCTTCGAATTTGGGAAACAGTTTTACCCGTTTTCGATTTTCCCCTTTTTTTTATCTTCTTCTTCCTCACGTCATTTACTTGAGAAAAATAAGTTATCTTGTTCCAAAAAAAAGTCTTCTTATTTTTCTTTTTTTCTATATATATTTACTTTGTTTCCTCTCTTTCAGATCATAAGCGGCCGTGAAAGCTAGTACCCACATCCTCTCCTACCCGAACAGTACCCAACCTACACAGCCACGTATACCTTGGAATACCCGCATTTATATCCCATCCCTAATAGTATTAGTTCATCCCTAGTAGTATTAGTTTATCCCTAATAGTATTAGTCCATCCCTAGTAATATTCGTTCATCCCTAGTAGTATTAGTTCATCCCTAATAGTATCAGTTCATCCCTAGTAGTATTAGTACCCACATATACATCCTAGTATCTAATTACCAGGTACCAGTGCTATACCTCGTACCCAACACGTACCCTGGATATCAAAAGTACCAGGATTACTGAAGTACCTGAATCCTAAAGCCTCGTTCCCGTCCTCAGCCCGCACTTTCTCCCTGAGCCCCACCCCTCCGCCCACCCACCGCCCATCCCTTTCCTTAGCGCTCCGCCCTCTGCACCCATCCACGCCCATCTCCTTTCTTAGCTCCCCGCCCATCCACCCACCGCCCACCCATGGCCCCCGACCCCCAACCGCCCTCCGCCAGCGCCTCCTCCTTCAGCAAGACGGGCCCTCACCCCCCACCGGCGCCTCCTGAAGCAAACCTCCTCCCGGGGACCTTCGGCAGCAGCGCCTTCAAGAGCAGAGTGGCCACGGTGAGCGCCGGATGTCCCGCCCTTCCCTCGTGGGTCCTGGACGAGCGAGAGGCGGCCCGGATCGCCCGTCGACGCCGCCTGTTGCAGGAGAGGGCGCAGAGGATTCACCAGCCGAGGGTCACGTCCATCGCGGTGAGGGAAGGGGGCGCTCTGCTGGATGGGACGCCCTTTGGTTATTCTATCTTATTGTTTATTGTAATTTGCTTGTTTTACTTATTTGCTTATTTGTTGGTGTGTTTTGATCACGTTTTTTTTTTGTGTGTGTGTGTGTGTTTCTTTGATTCATTGATTATCTTTGGTGTTTATCTTTATATTGCGGCTTGATTATTCCTTATGTAATATCGTTTTTGTTTTTGTTTTTTATTTTATTGCTTTGTTTTTAATTCTGCTGTTTTTTTGTTTGTTTTTTTGGGGGGGGATTTTTTTCTTACACATATAGATAGATAAATAGAAATATATGTATGTATGGATAGACTGATGGGTCGATCAAGAGAAATAGACAGATGGATCGACGATAAACAGAAAGATAGTTTGATAGATAGATGGATAGATAGATAAATAGATTAACATCACCAACCTCTTTATCATTATTATTATCATTATTATTGTTACTATCATTTTAATTGTTATTGATGGAGCTTAGTCTTGTATATACAGATAGACAGATATAGATATATAGATGATAGATATATATATACAGATGTAGATATATATACCCTGTTATAGAAATAGTTGTAGATGACGAAGTGCTGTAGATATAGATATAGATGTAGATATAGATAAAAATATGTAGATATATATATATAGATATAGATAAGGACTTAGATATAGTTATAGATAGAAATATATATAGACAGAGAGCCCTATAGGCTTTGTTATCTATATTGCTGTCACGACCAATATGGTAATGAGTTTGTGTTCTGTTACTGTTTTTGTCTCTCTCTCTCTCTCTTCTCTCTTTTCCTCTTCCTCTTCTTCTCCTTTTTCTTCTTTTTGTTCTGTTTACTGACTTCGCTCTCTTCTCTTCTTAACTTATTGTCTTTCGTCATTTTTTTTTTCTTTTCTTTTTTCTCCTTCTTCGTCTTCTTTTTTTTCTATATTCTAAAACTTTTTCTTATTTTTATTGTTATTCTTTTTCTTATTTTTATTGTTATTCTTATTCTTATTTTTATTGTTATTCTTTTTCTTATTTTTATTGTTATTCTTTTTCTTATTTTTATTGTTATTCTTATTCTTACCACTTTGTTTTCTTTTTCTTCTTCACCTTCTTCTTCTTCTACTACTACTTGTATTGTTTATTTTACCTCTCCTACTTTTTCTACTTCTTATTCAATACCATTTTTTTCTTCTTCATTTCCTAAGAAAGAGAGAGAGAGGGAGAGAGAGAGAGAGAGAGAGAGAGAGAGAGAGAGAGAGAGAGAGAGAGAGAGAGAGAGAGAGAGAGGAGAGAGAGCGAGAGAGAGAGAGGGAAGAAAAGGAGAGAGAGAAGAAAAAGAGAGAGAGAGAGAGAGCGAGAGAGGAAAGAAAAGGAGAGAGAGAAGAAAAAAAAGAGAGAGAGAGAAGAAAAAGAGAGAGAAATCCATCCCCCTTCCCCCTCCCCCCTCCCATATCCCATATCACACATGAAAAATTGCGATCCTAAAAAACAAAAAAATAAAATAAAAAATAAAAACAAAAAAATAAATCTTAAAAAAAAACTTACCACCGGCCTATTGCGCATCAGCTGGAGCGTCGCCAGCTGATGCTCTGCCAGCTGTTAACACGATTTTTTTTTTCCAGCTGACTCATCGCCTATAAAATGAAAGAGGTTGATGATAAAACTGGTGTTGGCGGTACTTTTATTGTGTTGTTTGTTTGTTTATTCATTCATGCATTCACTATAATAATGTTGTATTTAATTTTTTTTTTTCTCATTCCCTATAATAATGTTGTATTTAATTTTTTTCTCATTCACTATAATAATGTTGTATTTAATGTTTTTTTTCTGTTGTTGTTATTATCAGTAGTATCATTAGTTTTACGTCGGTGTCATTATCTTTAGGATCTATCTTGATTACTATTACTACGAATCTTCCATTCATGTAAAATACAATTATTATCTGCTTCTATTCGTTTGAATTTGTTTCATTTGGCCATTTTTTTAAATAAACACTGAAAAAAAGAAACAAAATACACATACACACACACATATATATGTCTACATGTATGTGTGTGTGTTTATATATATATATATATATATATATATATATATATATATATATATATATATATATATATATATATATATATATATATATTCTTCTCCTTCTTCTCCTTCTATTCTTCCGTCTCCTTCCTCTCCTTTTTTCTCATCTTCTCCTCCTTCTTCTCTTCCTTCTTCATTTTCTCCTTCATCTCCTTCTTATCCTTCTTCTCCTTCTTCTCCTCCTCTTTCTTCTCATTTTTCTCCTTCCTTTCCTCCTTCTCCTTCTTCTCGTTCTCCCTTTTCTCCTTCTTCTCCTTCTCCTTCCTCTCCTTTCCTTCTCCTTCTTCTCATTTTTCTCCTTCTTCTCCTTCTCATTTTTCTCCTTCTTCTCCTCCTTCTCCTTCTTCTCCTTCTCCTTCCTCTCCTTTCCTTCTCCTTCTTCTCCTTCTCCTTTCCTTCTCCTTCTCCTTTTCCTTTTTCTCCTTCCTCTCCTTCTCCTTCTCCTTCTCCTTCTTCTCCTTCTCCTTCCTCTCCTTCTCCCTTTTCTCCTTCTTCTCCTTTCCTTCTCCTTCTCCTTATATATATGACTTTACAGGAGACCTTCCCTTAATTAGTAAGGTCATAATGAACGGACTTAATTAATTAGACAATAATTACATAGGAATGAATGATTAAGCGTCTAATTAATTGATAATTAAAGCGTGTTTTTTTTCTGATGTTTTTTGTGTATGTTAATGTTGTTGTTTTTGTTGTCATTGTTTACAGTTAGTGTGTTTTTTTATCGTTTTTGTTGTTGTTTGTTTTATGTGTCGTTGTTGTTGGTGTTGTTTACATTTATTTTTGTGTGACTTGTTTCTTATTTTTTCTTTGTTGTTGTTGTTTACGTTTTAAATTTTCCTGTTGTTTTTTCGTTTTTTTTTAGCCATTTTGTTTATTGTTTATTTGTTTCCTGGTCTAGTGTCTTCTTCTTCTTCTTCTTCTTCTTCTTCTTCTTCTTCTTCTTCTTCTTCTTCTTCTTCTTCTTCTTCTTCTTTTCCTTCTTCTTCTTCTTGTAATTATTCTTTTCTTTCTGAATGCTTGGTAGCGATCAATTTTGAAAACATACCCGAAAAAGCCAAAGAAAATGATAACATTAATAGTTTTTAATTATATTTTAATTATATTTCATATTTATATTTTAATTATATTTTTAAGCTCATTTATCACATATGGCAAAATATGCAACATCTTTTCTGTAACTTTTGCTATCCCAGTTACGGTACCTTAACCAAATTTTTTTTTCGATTTTTCTCTCGAAATTTTCCATAAAGCTCTTGCTGTACGTATAGCATCCCCTACATATCTAAAAGGGAAATAGATTAAGAATCTTTGCCAATGCATACTAAGCAGTACAGATTCTTCGTGTGCGTGGAGAGGGTACTGAGTACGCGTAAGAGTGAATGTTATGATGATGAAAATAATGATAACTATAAGATATTGTTATGGATGTGTTGGTAATGACTTTGATGATAATGATAATGATAATAGTAACGATAAGCAAAATAAGAATAAGAATTGTAATGATATTTGAATATTTATGCTTACCATAATGCTGGTTATCTAATGATAACAATGTCAATAACGAAAATGATAACAATGTTAATGGTGGTCATAACAACACCAAATTAAATACATATAGCTAAATAACTATTGAATTAATAAACACTCCAACTAAAGGCCCAAAAAAAAGAATAAAAGAAAAAAATAAAATGACGTTAAAAAGGAATCACACGCTTGAATAACTGGGACATATTTTGTAATATAACGTATATCATATGAAATATATTCCCAGAATCCGATATCTGTAAACAAGCTGTGTGTTATTATTAATATCTTTATTCGTTGCTGATTTCCTGTGTGATTCTCTGAACTTGCAACAGAAAGCTTATAAATGATATATGATTTTGTTAAAGACATTTTAAAAAATTTGTGTCATACATATGTACATAATTATTTCTTAGTTGTGAGAGAACTTGTATGTTTGTGATGTCATGTATTTCTTATAAAACATACCTGTGCGTTGTCCCTTATATGTATGTGTGTATGACAACGTGGCCGTGTGTCATTCTAAGTGTGTAAGTAATTGTAAGTATCCTTCTGTGTGTAAGTATCCCTCGCCAGTGTCCAGATATGTGTACATGATCAAGTGTATCTATTGCCAGTCTGATGTGCACACTTATGCTTACATGGCTGTGTAACTGACCTACATATTACATACAGCTGAATGAATATAGAGGTAAATATCATGAACAGAAAATAAACAGGATGACAATATAAGTTTATTACTTGGAAGAGAAGATGATTATCACTAATGCTACTGTTACTTGAATTACTACTTCTGATAGCTTTATTATCAACATCATTACTATTATTATCAGCTTTATTATTATCATAGTTATCATTATTATTGCCATTATTATTACCATTATTATTACTATTACTATATATTTTTTGTCATTATCGTTGGCATTGTAATTATTATTATTATCATTATTACTATTATTGTTGTTGTTTTGTTGTTGTTGTTGTCAATATTATCTTTATTATCGTTATTATTATTTTCAATATTGTTGTTATTATCATCATCATTGTTAACATTACTACTATCATCACTATCAATATTGTCATTATCATTATCATTATCATTATTATTATTATTATTATTATTATTAATATTATTATTATCATTATTATCATTATTATTATCAATATTATTATCAGTTGCTGCTGCTGTGGCACTAGTAGTATCATAATCATTATTATCATTACTATCGTTATTACTATCATTATTATTATTGTTGTTATTGTTATCATTGATATCTTGATTACCCTTATCACTATTGCTGTTATCATTATCATTATCATTATCATTATCGTTATCATTATTATCTCTATATACATATACATACATGTGTATGTGTGTATATATATATATATACATATATATACATATATATATATATATATATATATATATATATATATGTATATACATATATATATAGATATAGATATATGTATGTATGTATATATATATATTTATATATATGTGTGTGTGTGTGTGTGTGTGTGTGTGTGTGTGTGTGTGTGTGTGTGTGTGTGTGTGTGTGTGTGTGTGTGTGTGTGTGTGTGCTCTCTTCTTGATCCCCTCCCCTCTCTCTCTCTTTCTCTCTCTCTCTCTTCTATCCATAAACAATATATCTATTGTATAGCTATATTCTTAGCGCCATTAGTCTTTACAGAATCTACCATAGTGAACTGTGGAGAGTGATGCCCGTAGAGTTTATCTCCACATTTCTTATTCC